TGTTTGGTCAAACACTAGACTAGATAGATGTTGCTTGTGAGGGGTATTTTGTAGTTGTGATTAACATTTACTATCAGTGGACTTTAAGTACAGGATATTACCCTCAATAATGTGGGTGGGCCTCAATCAGTTAAAGGCCTTATGAACAAAAATTGAGGTTTTAGGAATAAAATAAATACTATTTCCTCAAGATCATAACAGAAATCTTACTAGTGGATTTTGGACTCAAGAGTGCAACTTCAACTCTTGCCTGAATTTTCAGCCTGCCAACGGGCTGCCCTACAGATTTCAAACTTGCCAGCACCCACTTAAAATAAATCTCTCAAGCAGCCCCGGTGGCTCAGCGGTTTAGCACTGCCTTCTGCCCAGGGTGCCATCCTGGGGACCCAGGATCGAGTCCCACATCAGGCTCCCTGCCTGTGTCTCTGCCTCTCTCTCTTTCTGTGTCTCTCATGAATAAATAAGTAAAATCTTTAAAAAAAATAAAAAATAAATCTCTCCCTATATGCATCCTATTGGTTCTGTTTCTCTGGAGAAGATTTACTAACAACTGCATTTTGAAATAGTTTTCTTTTATAATACTTCTGAACCTTTTGCTAATTGAATATATCATATTCTTAATTTTGTGTCATAGAGCAAGAATAGGAGCTTATATACTACTTACTAATAGAAGTCAGTTTCTCTGTTGGTCCAGAGAACAAGAGAGTTGTCAAAGAAACTCAACAACAATGGCACATGTCCTGCCAAGTAGGGAAATTTTACACCAGGTTTCAAATATGAAGCTCTATTTGAGCCCAGAGTGTGCAGCCTATCTAAATATGATACCCTATTCCATAAACTAGGAACATTTTCCTAAGCTAGTTTATAGAAATTAACAAATCTTAAGCAATTAACCAATAAAGAATCTGAATAGCTGGATCAAAACATTTTTCTCTAAAAAAAGATGTGCCATGTTTGGGGCATGGTTGGGGCAGGGAGGAGGGCTTCAACAATTAATGCAACTCAGAATAGGAGGTTGGAGCCCAGTTTCCACTGCCTCATTCATCAAGAGAGTTTGTGTTGTGACTCTTGGAAGTCAGTTTTACTGCATGATGTAATGGAGAAAATAATGATGATTACAAATTTTCTTTATGCTTATGTTTTTTTAACCACTGCCAGTTTATGGATATTTAGGAAGTTGAAGCAAAGAAAGTAGATTTAGTTTCCTTTAATTTAGCCAAATGGTTAGGTCCTAGAAATTTCTGAAGAAATGTATTAGAGTTTTTAGAATTAAAAAGTCTTAGATCCCACTTGGTAGACCTTCAATGGCCCTCAGAGGCTGCACAACTTTTCCCTGATGTTACATAACAGAACTCTCTCTGTCTACTATAAAAGCAATGGTTTTGTATTCAGATTTTTTTAAGATTTTTTATTTATTCATATATATATATATAGAGAGAGAGAGAGAGATTTTTTTAAGATTTTTTATTTATTCATATATATATTCTATATATATATATATATATATATATAGAGAGAGAGAGAGAGAGAGAGGTAGAGACACAGGCAGAAGGAGAAGCAGGCTCCTCGCAGGGAGCCCGACATGGGACTTGATCCTGGGTGTCCAGGATCACACCTCAAGCTGCAGGCGGCGCTAAACCGCTGCGCCACGGGGGCTGCCCCTGTATTCAGATTTAAACCTGACATGTGGATTGAAAAGATGGTATTTGAAACTGTTCTGTTCACAATGCTGAACTTCTCTGAGCTCAAAGGAATAACAGATTTTAAAGAGTTACACAGTTATTTAGTGGAAAATAAGTCCTTATTAATGAAAGCAATTCGGACTTTGGTGATTATGAGTCGTGTTCTCTAGGACTTTGGGATACAACCACAAGATGTGTGTGAATATAGACCCCCCCAGATCTACTAAGGCAGCTGATTTTCAAAACATACACACATAAACTTGCCTTAAAACTGTTCTAAAACTACTATACCTATTAATACACAGTATTACTCAACACTGGAGTTAACTGTGGAAAGGAATCAACTGTGAAAGGAAAAACATGTATTAATGGGTAATTGTATCAACTCTGCTCCTGTCTTCCAGCCTCCTAAAGAGGCCCCAGCCCTGTAGACCAATTTTTGGGGGCTTTTGTGATTCAGAATCAGAAGAAAGAGAGCTGGGGGAAAAGATCTGAAGCACACATCCAGGGCTAGAGAAGAGTAGGGCATTTTTAAGACACAGAGGCATGCAAGCAGCTATCTTGTGTGAGAATAGTGGATGAGAGGGGAAAAAAAAAAGAGATGCTTAAGATATGTTGTTATGTATCTGCTTCACAGTCTGGGCTACCAGAATTTTTTAAGAGTTATTTCAATATTAGGTTTCAGGTATTTGCTTGTGTATTTTGAATATAGTCCTGCTCTAAGACTGGGCCATGTGGGTCATAGATTTATAAACATCACACGAAACACTAATCTCAAGCTATAGGAATTTCTGAACAAAATCTTTGTAATGTTTGTGGCTACACAGTTATTTTATAAAATTGCAGAGATAAAAGCCTTTATCAGTAAAATAATCTCGATCGAATTGTTAATTTTTTAAATTGTTGTTTATTTATGAGAGATACAGAGATAGGCAGAGACATAGGCAGAAGGAGAAGCAGGGTCCATGCAGGAAGTTGGATGTGGGACTCCATCCCAGGACCCTAGGATCACGCCCTGAGCCAAAGGCAGACAGACGCTCAACCGCTGGGTCACCCAGGCATCTCAGGAGCCACCCAGGCGGCCCCGGATTGTTAGTTTACACTGATGAAAACACCCTCATAATCTCCTAGAATAGTCCCAAGTGGGGATCCCTGGGTGGCGCAGCGGTTTGGCGCCTGGCTTTGGCCCAGGGCGCGATCCTGGAGACCCGGGATCGAATCCCACGTCGGGCTCCCGGTGCATGGAGCCTGCTTCTCCCTCTGCCTGTGTCTCTGCCTCTCTCTCTCTCTCTCTGTGTGTGACTATCATAAATTAAAAAAAAAAAAAATAGTCCCAGGTGTAAATATCAATATCCTCATTAAATCAACCAATAAGTAGACATAGGTCGAACAGTATAATTTTTTTTAATAAATAAAACTTACTGTACTGGTTTTAGAATTGCCTATTTATCAATGCTAAAAAAAAATCGCTTTGCATTGTGAAATCGAAATAGGCTATAATCACCAGTATCAGTAATAAAAATGCTGTAATCTAAAAATTAAAATAGTCATTGGACAGGGCTGAAAACATGTTCCTAGGCCCAGAGGGCAGTGAAGAATCTAGACAATCTACAACTTGAACAATCAGCGCTTGAGCGATTCACATGTTTTAGCTGGGAACGGTGAAAACCGGCTCTCTTTCAGTAATAATTTCTAAAAGAAATAGCTTGTACTTTTCTGGTCTGATGCATTAAAAGTGCTTTCGCAAAACTAATACCATGGTGCCAATTCAATGTAAAAGATCGGAGAGATTCTCCTTTTTCCCACAGTGTTAAAATGCACCTTTTCCACATGGGTATTTGCGCAGAGACTAAGTAAGCTTTGTACCTGGGAAGCCCTGGAGTAGAAATATCTCCGTAATCGGAAGCCTGAACTCTCAGGGGTTCATTCATTCGGCCAACATCCCCGGAGCCCCCCTCTGTGCAACAAACACTGCGGCTCTGAGGGAGCTTCCCGCCTGGCCAGGCAACAGCCCAGCTAGGAGCTTAAACAAACAACCTGAAACACCACAGAGCAGCTACCCAGTGGACGCGCCTGAAATTACCCCAAGGACGAGGGCCAGCCCATAAACGCAGTGTCCCCCGCGGCACGGGTGGCCACCCCACCTCTCAAGGGCTGGGGCAGAGCTGGGGCTAGAACTCGCGGCCGGAGGCGGGCAGGGGGCAGGGGGCAGGGGGCAGGGGGCAGGGGGCAGGGGGCACCAAGGTACGCGAGGGGGAAGCGGGGACCCGAGCGCGACCCCGACGGCGCGCCGAGGCGCTGCGGGCCCAGCCGTCGGGCCGGGGGGGGGGGGGGGGGGGGGTCTGGGCGCCGCGCGGTCCGGGTCCCAGGGGCGGGCTCCCGGGCAAGCCCCGCCCCCGGCTCCTCCCCCCGCCCCCCAGGGCGCGCGAGCCGGTCCCGCGCGGCGCCAACCCTTTCCCGGGTCACCGCCCCTCCTCTCTTCCGGGCCGCGAGCCCCCCGCGCGTCGCCTCAGGGCTGCGCTCGCGCGCGCGCGCGCGCGCTCCTCTGTCGCGCTCACTCGCGCGCGCACCTTCCCGCGCGCACCTTCCCGCCCGCCCTCAGCGCGCGCTCGGTCGCCCGACGACGCGGGAGCCACAAGCTCCGGACTAGGCTCGCCGCGCTCGCTGCCGCCAAGCGCCGGCCCGCGGCGGCGGCGCCCTCGGTTCCCTGGCCGGAGACTGTCGGGACCGCCAAATCTGCGGCCCCAGGGCGGCGGCGGCGGCGGCGGCGGCGGCGGCGGCGGTGAGGAGGCCGGGCCGGGGCGGGGGGCGGACGTGGTGGAACTGAGGGCACCGGGGGGAGGGGGCCCGGCGCCGCGGAGGCCACGTCGAAGGCTCGCGGCCAGCGGCGCGCGGGGGAAGGGGGAGGAGTGTGGGCTCGAACCGGGCTGCCTCGGCCCCGGCTCGGCGCGGACGAAGGACTGTGGACCGAGCGGGGCGCCCGAGGGGGTCTCCGCGGGACCCTCGGCGGGATGGGGACGGAGGAGACGCCGCCTCGAGGCTCCTGCCACGTTTCCACCGCGCCCTCGCCTCCGCTGGGGGTGGGCGACAGCCCTGCGCCTGCCCACCCCCCTCGGGGCGTCCCCTGGGGCCGCGGGCCCGGCTTGCTGCCCGGGGGGGGGGGGGTCGCGCCGAGGGGAGCCCCGTCCTGGAACCCGGGGCCGCCCGGAGACGCAGCGGCCCGGCGGGCGGGAGGGAGGGAGGGAGGGAGGACGGACGCGCCCTGCGAGGGAGGCTGTTCGGGGGAGGAGGGGACCGGGGCTCCGCGGCCCTTCCCCCTTGACTCGGGGAAAACCGCGATTGCAGAAGTTGGACGCGCTCGCAGGCCGTTCTTTGCAGAGTGGGTGGAGCCGAGTGGCGCCTACTCACCTAGCGCCGTCCACCCCCGAGCGTGAGCGTGAGCGAGAGCGAGAGCGAGAGCGAGAGCAGCAGCTTTGGAGGGCGCGAGCCGGCCGGGCCCCGGCCCCCGGCCCCCGGCCCCCGGCCCCCGGCCCCGTGGGAAACCCCGTCTCCTCAGCGCGCGCAGCCCGCTCGGTAACGCCGCGGAGGCTGGCCCGGGGTCCTCACCCCCACCGCCGGGATCCCCGCTTCCTCAATCAACCTCGGGAACGTCTATCAGGGAGGGAGACTTGGTTTCTAGAAACGGCGGCGATTGAGCCTTTCGTTGCGACACGGGGAAGAAGTACAAAGTTACGAACTCCTGGAACGCCGGGCTTGGTTTCCCTTTGGGTTTTACGCCCGCCGCCGCGAGCCGAGGAGCCCGCGGAACAAAGTAGAACTTGAGGAGCCGCCGCCGCGGTGACTCCGTCCCGGGGTGACGTCACCGTGCGATATTTAAAACGGGAGCTGTTCGCTCCGAGTGTGGGCGGAGGAGCTGCGGCTACTTGAAGACGCCCGAGGGCTCCCTGGCCCAGCTCGCTTCGGTTTCTTTCTCCGACTTTATAACTCCCTCGTTCACCCTTTGGTACTCCCAGGATTCTAACTGGTGGGAGTGGGTTAATTTTTATGCTATTCCACGCATCATTGCTTCAGGCTGAAGAAAAAATAAAAAAAAGTGATTCCATATGACTCATCCTGTGTTCCAAAGCAATAGCAACCACTGAGTGGTTCTTTGCTTCCTTTTATTTTTTTGATACGAAACAACAAGACAAAAAGGAAAACAAAACCCTAACCTCAGATATGGAGAGCACAGTAGACGAATTTAATGAATGAGAATGATCTCGTTAAGAATTCAGAACTTTCCTTTCGTGGGGTTCCTTGTTTTCTTTGATGAGATGGAAGCTAATGTAGTTCCATCAGCAAGCAACTTTCTTCTCAAACCGTATATTAAATTGCAGTGGGTTTTATTTTCCATTATAACATGGTGGGATATAAATACAGCTTTGTAAAGTGGAAATGGCCTGACTTTTTTTTTAGGAGGGTGCCTCATAGCATTTGTGGAAGGCTGGGGTTGTATGTGCCTCCACGACTTTTATGTGCAACTCAGTTCCCCTTGTCTGGTACTTGGCCAAAGAAGGTGGATTTGGCATTCTAGGGTTCCAGAGGGGGAAGGTTTAGGTGTCTACCCATCCAAGATCGGGGTGGGTAGGACTACCTGCACACCTCTCAGATAACTAGTATTTCACAGTGAGATCCCTCGTTTGAATTTCCGCAAGGAGTAAAGAATCATATTAATGAGGAGAGATGTCCAGAGGTTTGAGAAAACAAATGTGTGAGAACCCAAACTTATCAGCTAGGTTTTTGGTTTTTATATTAAATACAGCAGAGGCTGTATATCTTTAATAATTGGCTCTGGAAGGGATGATACTGCTTAGTAAATGCAGCATATGAAAAACTCCCAAGTTACTTACAGCCGCCAAGTGAATGAGCTCATTGCATAAAGACAGAATAGAATACACATTGAAACAATCCCAGGAGAAGATTTTTGCCTTTATGGATTAATCAATGATAAATCAGATCTGCCATTTAAAGAGAGTCTTTCTTGAGGCAATTCCACAGTGCAGCTAAATCTCTGGCTTTCTTTTAGTTTGATTTTTCTGTGGATGACCCTGAATTTCTGCTCTATTAAATATGTTTTGATAGAACCACTGTTGGGTTATACCTTTCAGGTAAATATATCTCTGTTCCTGAAAAATGCTAAACAAATTCATGCTAAAATTTTTTTCTTTATGTGTAACAGCTTTATTATTCAAATAGGACTCCTGTAGCATACAATTTACACATTTAAAATCTACAGTTCATTAGTTTCAGTATATTCACAGAGTTGTGTAGCCATCACCACAGTTACTTTTAGGACATTTTCATCACCCTTATAGGAAACCCTGTATTCATTTACGCCCTCCTCTTTCTCCCCACCCCCCCCCCATCGTTCCTTCCCTTAGGCCAATAACCTACTTTCTGTCTATATGGATTTGCCTATTCTAGAAAACTCAAATAAATGCAATCATACAATATTTGGTCTTTTGTAACTGGTTTCTTTCCCTTAATACACTGTGTTCATAGTTCATCTTTGTCATAGCCTGTATCAATACATCATTCCTGGGATCCCTGGGTGGCGCAGCGGTTTGGCGCCTGCCTTTGGCCCAGGGCGCGATCCTGGAGTCCCGGGATCGGATCCCACATCGGGCTTCTGGTGCATGGGGCCTGCTTCTCCCTCTGCCTGTGTCTCTGCCTCTCTCTCTCTCTGCGACTATCATAAATAAATACAAATTAAAAAAAAATACATCATTCCTCTTTTTTGTTGCTGAAGAATATTCCATTGCATGTATATACCACATTTCTTTGTCCCATCAGTTGGGACATTTGGGTGCTTCCACTTTTGGACTGTTACGAATGATGCATTGGACACTTGTGTACACATTTTTGTGTAGAAATATATTTTTATTTTTTTTTATGTATAGATGTAAGTGTAGAATTGATTGGTCTTATAGTAACTCTAACTTTTTTTTTAGGTATTATCATTTTTCTATAGTAGCTATATAGTTTTGTGCTTTAAAGTTTAAATTATTACACAGAATTTTAAATTATTGTAGCTAAATATTGACACGTTTAGTAAAAAGTGTATAATATCACTGTAGTGCTTTTCTTTGATACCTGATTTTATTTAGCCAACAGAAGCAATTTGGTGTGCTCTCTTTACTGAACTTCTTCACAAAGCTAAGTGATAAGATTCTTAGACAGTATTGTGATAAAGTCTTCATGGCATAAACTAGTCATTGTTTGTTCCTTTTTCCAGATATGAGGCCATGAAACACAAGATAAAATTGAAAGAAGGAGAGCTATGAAGGACAGACGTTTTGCAGAGCTTTATTTTCCAGTTTTTATGTTTTGTTTTTTTGAGAAAAACTGTTTTATCTTTACAGGGAAAGATGAAGAACGAAATTGCTGCTGTTGTCTTCTTTTTTACACGGCTGGTTCGAAAACATGATAAGTTGAAAAAAGAGGCGGTTGAGCGGTTTGCTGAGAAATTGACTCTTATACTTCAAGAAAAATATAAAAATCACTGGTATCCAGAAAAACCATCAAAAGGACAGGCCTACAGGTAAAAGATTAGATTGAACAGTTGGATTGGACTAAGAGGCTGATAGCTCCTGAAACGAGTACAAGGCCAGAGGCCTAAAAGGTGTTCAGTTCATTTCTTTCACAGTTCAACTGCAAAATACGAAACTTTGGGGTGTCTTTGGTATTTTTTTTCCATACATGTTTTAAGATACAAGTATTTGTTCAAGTCCCACTACCACTGACTACTTGGGTAGTCAGTACTGTCGGGTCATGGGAGTTGGTCTTGAGGTTGTAGTTTGGCTTCTGACTGAACGGATTTCTTATGTATCACAGGTACGTGAGGGTTTTCACAATTCTAGAGGACCCCTAAAATTCACCCATAAATGGGCATGGTAAGAGTTGAGAGAAACGAGTCTCTTTGTTTCTACAAATCAATTACATGTTCTTGGAAAAGTAAAAGTTTTATGGCGAATACAATTAAGATTATTAAATACCTAATACATTGTTGATGCCAAAAATTTCATTTATACTATGCATAATCCTTTTAGTAGAAGCCACTGTGACTTTTATTGATGAAAGCAACTTACTGTGACCCACAACTGGCAGACACTAGCTCTGGGATTTGAACTGACGTCTGACTGGTCCTAAATTCTTTTGGGCTTCTGCACACCACAGTTTGAACACTGCCTTGTCTCTGAGAGGGAAAGTAACTCTCACTTGCAGCTGTCTTTTGTACTCTGGTTTATAAGTTACACTTATGGCTTAAAGTAAAGAAGAACAGGCTTCTGCAAAACATGTTCTGGCATGCTCATTTCCTAGTATTTACGTGATCACTGTGTTGAGAACCTGGGTTCTGCTAAATAAACTCACCTGTCAAACTATGCCCCATTTGTGGAGGTGGCCACAAAAAAATAAAAGTCGAGCAGTTGTGACTACAGAAATTCTTTTATTTATGCATAATGGTGCCCCCAAAGTTTCCTTCTCAGATCAGCACTTCAGTGCTTTGATGTAAAAAGGACTTCTTTCAGTCACTTAGCTTTTACAAGTGTAAGACTATTCAGGGAATCTACAAAGTAATGAAAATGTGATCTGTTTAGTTCTCATTTGCTAAAAGCCAGAGGTGAGCATTTATTTGATTGAAAAAAGAAAAGTATTCTATTGAAAAGTTATTGATGTATTTTCGTCTTCATTTTTATCCAAGGAGGTTTCCTAGTAAATTGGAAGATGTGATGGATTAAAGTAGAAATATGAATGTTTTGTATAAGTCAGACTCAAGTTATTTTTTTATCTTCTCACTTGATTCTCTTTTTTTTTCCTGCACATCGTCATTTCTGATAGTGAACAGCTTTTGTGAGTTAGAGCTGTTGAGGCTTTTTACACTGATATAATTGACATCGGACAAAGGCTTTTGGAAGTGCCAAACTAATTTTTTACTATTACTGAGAAAAGAAGACACTGTCAAGTAAATGCTTAAAGGTCAGACAGTGTACAGTTTCATTTCCATTAATTCTAAAAACTTGAGGAAAAAAATTAGCTAAACAGGATTAAATTGGCATATGATCAAAACTATCATTATTGAGTCATTTTGAAGCTGTCTTTGGAGTAGAAAACTATTAGACTTAATGGTGGGTTGTTACTATTATAAAAATGAACAGAATATAGGATTAGCCAGAGTGAGACTCTTGAATCCATAGAGTAGGTTGGAAGTGTTCTTTTTCTTCTAAAGTGTTTATAAATTAAAATTGTTTCTCCACAATATCTACAAATAAGAGGCTTTTGGAGGGCAATTTGGCAATATTATCAAGATCTGTAGAAATACTCCTACTCTTTGAATAGTAAGTCTCCTAAAAATCTATTCTAGAAGTATAATTAGAAATGCAGATAAATATGTATGAATATGGATGTTTCTTACACTTTATAATTGCAAAAAATTGAAAAGAACTGTCAACATTAAGTAAATGATAGACTATTTTTATGCAACTTTTGAAATCTTGTTTTTGAAGATCGGTTAATGGATAAGAAGTCACAGTATATAGAGTTTGAAAAAACAGCACAAAATATGTAAGATATGCAAATTTTGTTGAAGCAGAGTCTCTAAGCATCTTTATTTACATATATACTTTTTTAAGCTTAGAGCCTACATCACTCTTATTATAGATAACAAAAACACATCCTTCTAAGTTCTATCTCCTTACCTATAACTGCTTTTGATCCTCTGGTAAGTAGGACTTTTGAATCAACCTACACAAGGCTAGAATTTGTAAACATAGACCATCTTAAAGAAAGGAACAAATAGCATCTTATATGCTGTAAAATATTTTTTTTACTCTGAATTGCTTACTTGTTAACGGTCATGTTAAGATTAGTATAGACAGAATAGAATAATAATAGCCTTTGGAGTCCAGTTGTCCAGATATGCCCCCTGGATTTACCTCCTTCTAGTTGTAAAGTTGGGAAAGTTATCAACTCTGCCTCCTTTCTTACAATGGGGAAGTGATATCTAACTTACAGGATATTTGTGAAAATAAAAAGCTAGTATACATGAAGCACTTAGGAAACTGTCAAATGTATAGTGAACCTTCAGAAAGAGTTATTAGTACTTAGAAATCTGTATTAGCTATTATGAGAAATTTTTCACTGTTTTAAATGAAAATTGAAGTCAAATAATGAAATAATTTTTTTAAGAACCTAAGCATCGTATTAGGTTCTATTCATTTTTCTATTGATATCATTGTATTTAATGGTATAATTACTATTTGTCAATAAATTTGTGTTTTCCTTATTTGAGAGCTTTGCATCTGAGGAAGAGGTGAAGCGACTTAATCTAAATTCACCCAATAAATAAGTACTAGGAGTAGCACTAAAACCTGGGTTCTCTTGATTGATTTCTTAGTTGTAGGCAGTAAATACTTTTATTGTAGCCACCATTTTTTGTACATAAGCAAAATGCTTACTTTAACATGTATTTTTGCATTCATCCTCGGAGCCATCTTTGAGCATTCCATTGGGTAGATATGTATTTTCTTAGGTTTAAAAAATGGAACAAAGGCTCTGTTGGTTTAGATTTTTTTTTCCAGTTATTTTTGGCTTTTTTAAAAAATGAAAACCCTTTGGTAACAAATACATGAGTAAGCCAATAACACTTTGGATTATATTTTAATCTTAACTGTGATATGAATGGTTCTATGTCTTGGACTGATTGTATATTTATAGAACAATTATAGGTGAGGAAAGGACACCTTTCTTAACACTTGCTATCTGGAATCTATAAGCAAGGAAATGATCAAAACATCACAAGAATTTCAAAATATTTGAAGCATTGGTTAAAAGTCTTGTTGGAGATTTTGTTATATAGTAACTTGGCCTGTTAATACTTCTGCGTTTAGTGCTCTAAGTAATTTTATGCAACGTTAGTGCTCCTTCCTCATTTAATGTACATGTGAGATTGAGTGGTTTCTGTCTGGCTAAAATGACGTAGAGCCAATTCTTATGGTTTCCCTGGGCCTGGACAGATGCCCTCCTCTTCTCACCAGGCTGAGTCGTCTTACTGATGCTGCCTCTTTGCCTTCAGTTCACATTTATTTTCTACTTAGGATAGATATGCACCTGGGTTCCCCACCAGGGTTTGTTTGTTTTAAAATCACATTGGTAGGATCCCTGGGTGGCGCAGCGGTTTGGCGCCTGCCTTTGGCCCAGGGCGCAATCCTGGAGACCCGGGATCGAGACCCGGGAGCCTACTTCTCCCTCTGCCTGTGTCTCTGCCTCTCTATCTCTCTCTCTGTGACTATCATAAATAAATAAAAATCTATAAAAAAAATCACATTGGTAAATACTAATAATATGACAAGGTTTATGATTAAGATTAAATTAAAGCTATTAACATTATTCTACTTCGTTGTAGATGCATTCGTGTCAATAAGTTTCAGAGAGTTGATCCTGATGTTCTGAAAGCCTGTGAGAACAGCTGCATCTTATACAGTGATCTAGGCTTACCAAAGGAACTCACTCTGTGGGTGGATCCATGTGAGGTGTGCTGTCGGTAAGTGTGCTGGCTGAACTGATTACCATGCTGGAACTAATTTTATGAAATTCTCTCAGTTACTGCCTGCTTGTGTGTCTTTATGACCAGAAGCTGGCTGTGTGGGCTTATTTAGTTGTGAATTTTGTCATCTGAAGGTGAAGGACTGGTTACATTCCTTTTTTACAGTTAAAGAAACTTTAAAAAACTTGATTGGGTCGGGTTTTTATAGGGCTCTGCCAAGAAGTTGATTATAGACCAAAAGGCAGAATTTAGATACCTAGGCTCTTGGAGGTCAATTACTGTCTTTCTTTGGTGGTGCACTTGTGTTTCCCTTCTTCAAATTAGGAAAGAAGTTAATCTCAAGTAGTACTGGATAATAATAATGTTCAGTTGGTTTCTGTTTGTCTCTTCTCTTGCCTCCCTCACCCCTCACCCATTATTTTCATAGTTTTGTTTTTATAATGGAGATTATTTTTCATCTCCTAATGAGCAGAATTGTAAAAGGTGAGTGTTAGATGTGATATCTAATTGAATTCCATTCATTCTGAAAAACATACATTGTGGACCAGGCATTCTTAATTCTGGGGTTTTTAAAAAAGTGAAAGTGACATTCTGCTGTTAGATTGTTTGAAGTATAATAAGGGAGAAAAAAGAATGAGCAGATTATAACAGTGTGATTTATGCTGTAATAGAAATACGTACAAAATGCAGTGGTTGGTGGCACAAAGGAGAAAGTTACTGCCTCTACTGGGAATCAGAAAAGACTACCAGGTGGGTGATACTAGAGTTGGGTGGGGAAGGATGCAGCTGACTAGTTGACAAGGTGGCAAATTTCCAGGCAGGAAGAATAGGATGAGTAGATATATGGAATACCTTGCAAGTGATTCCCTACAGTTCCTTTAGGGTATTTCTCTTTGGTTTTAAGTGCATTTCACCTGTTGACTACAGTTGAGATGCTTTTTGATACAATCCTAATAAATTCCAAAGGTGATCATAAACCTTTGACCTGATCTCCAGCAATAAAAGTAGAGGTGGTGATACGCCATGCCACTCTGGACCACCATGGAAGTACTTGGTATAAGCTGTTGGTGTAAGCTGCTTGCTTTGGGAAACTTAAGGTTACTAGATTCTCCAGCACTTCTTCCTCAGAAAAAAGAAGAGCAAGATATCTTAAGTTTTGGTCCAAGAAGGTCAAACATTTTTAGATTCTGGAACCAATTCAGGACTCATCTTAGGCCAAGGTCAGACTTTATAGACTTCGGCCACTGAACCCCTGCTGAAGACCTCAGTATATAAGAAATAGTTATCACAAAGTTACCATATTGAATTGCTTACTTTTTTATTAGGCCTGCACTTAGATTCTGACTGACTCTTCTTTAACACACAGTTTAGTTATGTAGTTTTTCAGCCATAAAAAAGTATAAGCAGTATTTGAAAGGGGCTTTTTCATGTAGTTATAAAGCTACCAAAAAAATATAGAGTCTTACGTGGAGGCAGAAACAAAAAAGCAAAAAAAGAGTTGGCAAAATGTATTATCACCTAGTCAAATAATGAGTATTTAATATGACAATCTTAAATCATTAGGGAAATATTTCTATGTCCAAAAATGCTTAAGTCAGGTAATTTTATAAACATTTTGGACGTAGTTATTCGAAATGGCTTAAACTAAATCTTGGCACCTGAAGATAAAAGCTTTAGTTAAATAGCCATTCTACTTTACTTAGGTGGATACTTCATTATTTATGATGCCAGATAATGAAAAATTTCTGTGCTTTCATCTTATTAATATATGAAAATCTTTGCATTCAGTAGCCTTTTAATAATTTTACATGTGATTAAAATTTTGCCAAAAGTTGGCTATTATGTGATATTTTAATCACCTTCAGAATGTGGGGTTCTCATTCTGTGATAATAGAACTTCATGCTGGTGATTGAGTAGAGGTGATTGCAGTTAAGAGAAGAAATCTCAATATTGATAGTGCTTTTGGACCAAAACTGTAAAGATAAATATTCTGAAAACCAAAATAAAGCTGATCTAGCAGTTCTATAATTGAACAAATATCTGAGAGACATTAATAACTCATTGGTACACTAGAGAGTAAGCTTATAAATAAATTGAAATTGACTAAAAGGGAGCATTCTTCATAGTATAACTGAGTTATTTCATCAGGATAAAATATTGGAAGTGTACAAGAAACCTTATGTAGTTAGGTTATCATTTAGTGAACTATGTGAGAAGATACAGTTTAGGTAACAACAGATCCTTCCTTATAAAGAGAATGCCTGAGAATGGCCCACAGCTTTCTTATTTTTCTTATTTATCCAACATACTCCATACCTTTTTTTTTTTTTTTTTTGGAATCTCTATAATCCTTTTCCTGATACACAGACCATTAAATGCAATTGATTTGTTTCCTTAAAGTTAACTAAATTGGACTTAATGTTTTAGTAGTGTATGGTTGAAAAATGGAAAATGTAAGTTATCCATTACTAATTCTAAAATATTAACCGCACATGCCAATGTTACAGTAATATATAGTGAAGAGCTTTGCTTACTATGAAGAGAACTATCATACCGAAATAGTAGAAATAGTAAAAAGGGAAAGATACAGAACCTAATTGAATTTGCATGTCAAAAATATCTAAGTTAATAAAGCTACCCTTCAGTCATTCGACCCTTCAGTCTGCCCTTGATTTAAGTTTCTGTTTCTACAGAGGCAGGGATTTTTCTCAAATTGCCTGCCTTTCTGTTTTACTAGAATTTTCACTCCATTAATGGGCAAAACCGAAGATAGGCCTAATAAACCCTTTAATATTGCTGACATTATTAACATGTGAATTAACCATTGTATTGAAATTTGTTGAGTCCTTAACCCATGGGTAGACAGGTAAATTCCGTTGCTAAAACTATGCAAAGTAAAGTTGAAATTACAGTACAGGAGTTCTGTGTTAAGAAGGATTTGCCTAAATGCTCAGGCATCTTATACTAGGAAAAAACACTAGCTGAAGACCAACCAGTATCCAGCCAGTTCAGCATTCTTAACTAACAGATAGGAAACTGTGGCCTGGAGACATTAAATAACTTGCCCCTTATCACAGAGCTAGTTAGTGGGAGAGCTGGAACCAGAAACATGTTCAGTGCTCCTTCTACCATCTGTAGCAACTCCTTTTATGAGATAAACTGAAAAGGAATAAAAAAGGGAGTTATGTCCCATATTTAGGTAGTATTTATGGCCCATTCAGCCTGTGTGAGAGTGGAAGTCAGCACAGCTATATAAAGAAGTAGAACTCACCTGTGAGGCTACATGATCTCCATATAACTTTCAAAGAAAGGCTTTATTGCAGTTTGGCCTTTTACTTTATACATATTCTGATTGAGAAATAATTTGAGAGAAGACTTAACTTGAGGGGCACCTGGGTGGCTCAGTGGTTGAGCCTTTGGCTCGGGTCGTGATCCCAGGGTCCTGGGACGAGGTCCCACGTCAGGCTCCTCATAGGGAGCCTGCTTCTCCCCCTGGCTATATCTCTTTCTCTTTGTCTTTCATGAATAAATAAATGAAATCTTAAATTAAAAAAAAGACAAATTAATCGACATATTATTATTAACTGTGTTTTTCTGTCAAGGTTTTTTTTTTTTTTTAGGCTTAAAATCACTTTGTTTTTCTAACTTTAATTACATGTTGTGTAAGAACTGCTTAACAATTAATTCCTTTGTCCTAACACTTACTAGAAATTGTTTCATAGTGTTTATGTTGTACAGTCTATTCAAATAGATTTGTGGGTTTTTCTTAATCTCCAAATGAAAACTGGTTTTATGGGGGCCTGGGTGGTTCAGTTGGTTAAGCTTCCAACTCTTGATTTCAGCCCAGGTCATGATTTCGAGGGCGTGACATCAAGCCCCCGTTGGGCTGTTGGGCTTCTCACTGGGCAGTGGAGCTTTCTTAAGATTATCTCTCTGTGTCTCAGAAAAAAAAACTACTAGTCTTACTATTCATTATGCTATTTTCCCTCATTGCAGAATTTACTTTCCTTTTTTTTGTAGTAGCCAGCAGCTATAGTTAAATATTCTAACAATTATTTTCTATTTCAAGGCTCTAAAAATACTTTGGGAGGATTAAAAGGGTAGTTTTACTTTTTAAAAAGAATTAGGATGAGAAATGAGCAGTTTTCGTAGGAATCTCCATGAGATAAGCAATATAATTCCAGCAAAACCTCTTTATTTTCCTCAACAATTGTTTGTTTTTTTAGTTCCTCAGTTCTTATTTTTGTCAGTGTTGATACAGGCAAACCAGGCCCCTTTTTTATTTAATCATGGTAAAAGTCAATCTCAAAGGAAATACCTAGTTGATTTGTGACTTGAATTACTAATATCTACATTACAGTGGTTAGTTAAAAATACATTAGAAAATTTTAATGTACAGCCAGTTTAATGGTACATACAAAAATATAATCAAAACAGTGAATTTCTCTTCAGTGTTTTAAACAACTATTTGTTGGGTGGCAGTAGGAAAGAAAATTGGGAAAGAGAATGTGGAGTCACTTTTATTTGTAATTGAATAAAGCCAGAGGTAGAAAATCATGGTTTGCCTGTTGTCATGGAGCCTGGGCTAAGACACTGTATGAGGACGCCTGGGTGGCTCAGTGGTTGAGCGTCTGCCTTCGGCCCAGAGCACAATCCTAGAGTCCCAGGATCAAGTCCTGCATTGGGCTCCCTGCATGTGCCTGCTTCTCCCTCTGCCTGTGTCTCTGCCTCTCTGTGTCTCTCATGAATAAATAAAAAGTAAAAATAAAAAAAGATACTGAATATGTAAGGTTAAGTTCTGGGGAGAGCTCCTTCTTTGCTTTAGACCAATGGCATATCCAAGGCTTTGTTTTTATGGACAATTTCTTTTGTTGATGGTACTTCAGGGTTTGTAAGTTTGTTTTTTTTAATCCTTAGGTATGGAGAGAAAAACAATGCATTCATTGTTGCCAGCTTTGAAAATGAGGATGAGAACAAGGATGAAATCTCCAAGAAAGTTACCAGGGCTCTTGATAAGGTTACCTCTGATTATCATTCAGGATCCTCTTCTTCAGATGAAGAAACAAGTAAAGAAGTAGAAGTGAAACCCAGTTCAGTGACTGCGACCCCAAGCCCTGTGTACCAGGTAACCATGGATGTCTCTCTATTAAAGATGATTAGCAGGGCTTGCGAGGTCATTCCAGGGGGTCCTGCTCGTATTGCCCAGGGTTTCTGATTTGAGATACTGAATCCCAGTTCTTATTTTCCACATAAAGGGAAGCTGATCCTCTGAGATATAAGTAGGATAAATACATTTTATTTGGTTGTTTGTTTATGATAAATACATTTTAAAAGGTGTGACAAAAAGTAGAAAAAATTATGGTGATAAAACATTCCTGATATTTCAAAATCCTTACTGTATTACAAAGGAGGTATTCAGTTTTTAGTCTTCAACACTTCTGTTGCATACCATTAGGTTTAACTTTCTTCTCTCCATGATTAAAGAGAAACTTCACTGAATTTTATGTAAGATTTTTCACTCAAGTCAGAACACTATCTCCTTTACTTCAGCAGTTGAAGAGTTATATAGCAACTGTGCATGCACTTAGAAATTCATCCACTTGTTTATACCCCACATACCAAAGAACATTTAATATACTTTTTAAAATTGTCAATATAATACTCTTCAACAAAAAAGATAAATCAAGAAAATTTAAAGACATCTTTTGATTTGAGCTGTTCTGTACATGCACTTTATTCTAATTTTGAGTATATTTAAAATATACCTATTTTTATTAATTTGGCCTTAATTAGACATAAAACATACCAGATTTGTGGTAGGGTTGGATTTGGGCTACAATGAGCAGTTAGACTTTAATGAGAAATCAGGGTTTTGAGTATGAGAAACTAATTTTTTTTTTTTTTTTTTTTTTATTCATGAGAGAGAGAGAGAGGCAGAGACATAGGCAGAAGGAGAAGCAGGCTCCATGCAGGGAGCCTGATGTGGGGCTCGATCCCAGGACTCCAGGATCACACCCTGGGCCAAAGGCAGGCGCTAAACCGCCGAACCACCCAGGTGTCCCAAGAGAAACTAAATCTTTAAATTCATCATACATTTGTATAATGAACATGCTTTCAGTTTAACTTCTCTCTCTCTCTCTCTTTTTTTTTTTACATTTGTTGAATTATCCTTCTAGGAAGATTAGTTCTGAAGATTATCATATTTGTAGGGATATATGGTATATATTGTAAGATAACATGCACTTGCTTTAAACAACTTAAGTGTAAAAAACTATAATGGTGACCAAGTCCTCTCTCACCTCCCCCCAACCAGCAGTGCTGTACTTTTCTATGGAAGTATTCGTTACTAGGATTTTTTTTTTTTCTGTATTTTCCCTGAGAGATTCCCTATATAGATAAGTAAACATAGTATTTGTATTTCAGAGATGATTTTTAAGACTTTTACCGTAAATATTTGGTTTTTTTTCCCCTCTGTATTATATACTCTAAATTACTGTTGTTAAATTGCCTGGAATTAATTCACATGTGGCAATTTTATCTCAGAATTTTATTATTACTCAACAAAGCAAGAAAGTAAGTCTCAAATTGATTGCAAGTAAATTGGCCTTTAATTTTTAGATTATCCTTTTTTTTAAAGATTTTTACTTATTGTTTATTAGTACAAGCAGGGGGAGCTGCAAAGGAGAGGGAGAAACCGACGCCTTGCTGAGCAGGGAGCCAGACATGGGGGTTGATCCCAGAACCCTGAGATCATGACCCAAGCCAAAGTCAAATGTCCAACTGACTGAACCACTCAGGCACCCCTAGATTTTCCTTTTAAATTGTATTTATTTCCCCCCATGTTGAGAAACTGTTAGTATAAAATTATAACAAAAGCATGGAAATTGAAGTATCTTCCGTGGGCCTTTAAAATAAGACATTTTTCCTTGACATTTTATTCACTAACAAAACATTTCATGACAGAGAAGCATGGCAGTTAAAAGCCATTGTGTAGAAAGCTGGTACAAGTGGCCCACTTTAATCTTTTCTTCCTATCCACTTCATCTTGAACCTGGCACTGCTAAAAGGTGTAAATAGGGGGCTTGTCAAAGTAAAGGACACAAAGTTCCTAGCTTGGGGCCTTTGTTCTTTTAGGAGTCTGTCTGGTTTTTTAAAGATCCTTCCAGAGATTACTCTACTAATTAAGAATTGAAGATCATGTCATTTCTCCCCATATTGATCTATAGAGTCAATTCAGGTTCAGTCAAAATCCCAACAAGATTTTTCTAGAAAGTGACATTGATTTAAAATTTATAAAAAGGAGACTCAAGTTAAAGGCCTCCACTTCTATAAAGCCATTATGTCTAATAAGATAATGTGCTAAAGATTTATAGCTACACAAATATATTAATGGAACAAAATAGAGAGCCCAGAAATAGACCTACATATGTACAGTCTTCTTCTTCTTTTTTTTTTTTGTTTTTTTTGTTTTTATTTTTTATTTATTTATTTATTTATGATAGTCACAGAGAGAAAGAGAGAGAGGCAGAGACACAGGCAGAGGGAGAAGCAGGCTCCATGCACCGGGAGCCCGATGTGGGATTCGATCCCGGGTCTCCAGGATCGCGCCCTGGGCCAAAGGCAGGCGCCAAACCTCTGCGCCACCCAGGGATCCCTTCTTTTTTTTTTTTTTTTTATGAAAGTGTCAAAGCAGTTCAATAGGGAAAGTCCTTAAGAACTCATACTAAGGGGATCCCTGGGTGGCGCAGCGGTTTGGCGCCTGTCTTTGGCCCGGGGCGCGATCCTGGAGACCCGGGATCGAGTCCCACGTCGGGCTCCCGGTGCATGGAGCCTGCTTCTCCCTCTGCCTGTGTCTCTGCCTCTCTCTCTCTCTCTCTCTCTGTGACTATCATAAGTAAATAAAAAAAAAAAAAAAAACTCATACTAGGGACACCTGGGTGGCTCAGTGTTGAGTGTCTGCCTTTGGCTCAGGTCATGATCCCGGGGTTGTGGAATTGAATCTTGCATTGGGCTCCCCATGGGGAGCCTGCTTCTCCGTCTGTCTATGTCTCTGTGTCTCTCATGGATAAGTAAATAAAATCTTTTTTAAAAAAAAAGGAACTGGCACATTGGATACTCTATATAAGAAAAAAACAAATGAACCTAACTGCTACCTGGCAGCATACACAAAAAATTTAATTTGAGATGGGTCTTAGACCTGAACATAAAAGCTAACTCTGACACTTTCGGAAGAAAGTATTCAGAGATATCTTTATTATTTGGGATAAGCAAAGATTTCTTTCAGGGTATACAAAAAACAAAAGAAAAGAACTTGTTAAATTTGACTTCATCAAAATTAAAAATCTTTGCTCATCAAAACAAACCATTAAGAAAATGAATGGGCAAAGCATAGACTGGAACAAAATATTCTCAATACATACATCAAAGGACTTGGTTTCCAGAATATACTTTATAAATCATTCCTATAAATCAGTAATAAAAGACAAACAACCCAATTAAAAATAGTGGGCAGAAGATGTGATTAAACACCGTGCAAAATAAGTTATATAAATGTCCAGTAAACACACATGAAAAGGTGCTTAACCTTATTTGTCATCTGGGAAATGCAAATTAAAACCACAGTGAAACACAATTTCTTCCAGAATGGCTAAAATTAAAGTCTGACTGCTGGCAAGGATGTGAAGTAGCTAGATTCATAAACTGTTGGTGGGAGTGTGAAATGGCACAACCGCTTTGGAAAACTATTGGCGCTTACTAAATATGCATCTACCCTATTACCCAACATTAACACTTAAGTATTTAATAAGAGAAATGAAAATATTTACAAAATCATGTGTTAGAATGTTTATAACAGCTTTTTTTCATAGTAGTAAGATGGAAAGCAACTGAAATGTCCACAAACAAGTGAATGGGAGAAAAATTGTGAGGTCTTTACACAGTAGAATAATAGCAGTAAAATAGGAAGAACTAATAATAAATATAATATGGAAGGACCCCAAAAACATTTGATTGAGCAAGTGAATTTTGCCATCCACCAAAGAACACATGCTAGATGATTCTATTTATATGAAGTTCACAAACAGGGAAAACTCAAGTCTGATGATACAAATCAGAACAGTGGTTGCTTATGGGGGTGAGGATTAACTGGAAAGGATAATGTAAGCTCCAGAATTTTGTCTTTTCTGACAGTTTTATCTGTACCCCTAAAGTGGGGCTTGAACTCACAACTTCGAGATGAGTCACATACTCTTCTCCCTGAGCCAGCCAGGCACCCTTTTCTCTCTTGACAGTTTTAAAACATTTTCAGCACCTCAGTATAAAAAGAAATGAAAACATTTCATTTTGCTGTTTGTAATATGAGTCAATTATTAGTTGGAACTCTAAATTCTTCCTTATTTCAGCATTATTTTATTTTTATTTTTTTTATTTTTTTTAGCATTATTTTATATAATTAGGAATTAACATACTAAGGTTATTCGTTGAAGCATTGTTTTATTTTGTGCATTGTTTGTAATAGTAAAACACTGAAAACAGCCTAAATGTTCCATCAATAGGACACTGATGTGTGGCATAGTCATTGCATTACACCTAGAGGTCAGATAATGAAAAAGGACTTTAGGTATGATACGAGTATCTCTGAGATGTGTTTATCAAGTGCAAAAAGTAGTGAAGAAAATTGTATGTGCATGTTTTTCAAAATGTATGTACAGATGTATACCCAAGTATATGCATGAAAATTTAAGGGTATACACCAAAAAAATTAGTGTCAGTTGCCTCTGAGAGGGCAACTGAGTAGCTGTCAATCAGATACAGGGATTTTACATTCATTGTGTATGCTTTTATATATACTGTTTGTATTTTTTAGGCTATGAATGCAATTTTATATAGAATATAAATTTTAAAATACTTATATTAAAAATTGCAGATTAGAAATGAGAGAATTCAGAAACTCACAGTCATAAGGTACAGCATTCTGAGCAGGGGGCTTCAAAACTGCTGATGACTTTGAGTTGTTTTGTGAACTTGATGTCCCATTTGACTTTGGGATAATCTAGTACTGTTGTTCTGAAACACAGACTGGCTGCATTAGAATCACATACATTGTAGTCAGAATACCTGACCTCTGTTTTTACATTTTTGTTATTGGGGGATCCCTGGGTGGCGCAGCGGTTTGGCGCCTGCCTTTTGCCCAGGGCGCGATCCTGGAATCCCGGGATCGAATCCCACGTCAGGCTCCCAGTGCATGGAGCCTGCTTCTCCCTCTGCCTGTGTCTCTGCCTCTCTCTCTCTCTCTCTCTGTGTGACTATCGTAAATAAATAAAAAAAATTTTTTAAAAAAACAAAAAAAAAAACATTTTTGTTATTGGTCAGGGCTAGGATATGAATATTTTGTGTTTTAAAAGCTTTCTAGGTGACTCCTTAATAACCATCCAGCTGTGGAAACCACTGGTCTAAAACATGGTGTGTCCTTTCACGCTTCCATTCATTTCTGTTTTAATCTTTTCTTAGAATGCTGTTTTGAGTTCATTCATTCTTTCATTTCATTCAGTCATTTTCATTCAGAAAACAAATCAGTCACCTATTATATATATTAAGTTTTTAACATATTTATATCTGACCATAGGATGTCACTTAGACCTCCTCTTAAGAGTATGGGTGAGTGATTTGGTTCGTCTTTAAAGAGTAACCTGGACTTCTGCATTGTTTTTACATAATGTGACTAATTTTTCCTTTGAATTAAGTTACTGTTTTCTCTTTCATGCAGATTTCAGAATTAATATTCCCGCCTCTTCCAATGTGGCACCCTTTGCCCAGAAAAAAGCCAGGAATGTACCGAGGGAATGGTCATCAGAATCACTACCCTCCTCCTATTCCATTTGGTTATCCAAATCAGGGAAGAAAGAATAAACCATATCGCCCAATTCCAGTAACATGGGTACCTCCTCCTGGAATGCATTGTGACCGGAATCACTGGATTAATCCTCACATGTTAGCACCTCACTAGCTGCTTTTTGATTCTGTTGGTATCAGTGTTGAGAGAAGGTAGACTAAGGCCTGACCACATTAAAAGTTAAAAGTTCATACTCATACTAGTAAAGTTAGATGGGCCAAACCATCAACTTATTTTTATAGAAAAGTTATTGATAATAATCTTTCTTAAAAAATATATATGCACTTTAGATATATTGATATAGTTTGAGAAACTTTATTAAAGTTAGTCAAGTGCCTGAGTTTTTAATATTGGACTTGAGTATTTATATATTGTGCATCAACTTTGTTGGATACGAGAACACTGTAGCAGCAGACGATCTGTTCTAGCACCTTTGAGCATTTACTTTATGGAGAGTATGTAAGTTATTTATACACAAGGAAATCTATTTTATGTCATTGTTTAGAAAAATTGCGTGAAATCATGTAGTTGCAAATAAAAAGTAGTTTGAGGCATGACAATGTGTGCTTCTTTTCTGCATAAAAAAGGGAGAAATAGCAAACGGGATATTTCAGTTTAATGTGCTTAAATATTTAGCAAAGAATAAAAAATGTAAGAATTTAATTTTTTCTTTTAAAAAATCAACTTTTTATTAACCGTAACTTTCCCCAAGGCAACCATAAGAATGCATATAAAAAATCCACAATTTATTAGTATGAATTGAAAATATAAATATAATAAAACATTTTTTCAGCCATCAAAGTTGCTATAGGTAGGATTTCCCTAACCAAAGATTTAGTCTGTATTAATTTTGATATGGCATCTGACTTAAATGCCTGGTGCCACTGCATAAGGCAGAAATGTTCTTAATCTCTGATCCTTGTGCTTTTTTTCAACACATGAAAGTCTTTAACAGATGTCTGAAATAAAGCCAAATAGTACAGTACTTTTCTGATTCTTCAGTAGTCCTTCATATTTATACCACCGTAACGTCATCTGTCTTGTAAGCGTACTTGAACTACAAAAGAGAGAGAGAGATAAGAATTTGGATTTTTTCCCCAAAAATTAAATTTTTTAGATACTTTTTCCTATTTTGCACCATCTTTAAATTTCTAGTCATAAATTATTTGACTTATCAGAAAAATCACAGCTTCCTAATAAATGATTAGAAGCCCTTGGCTACTCCAAATAATTCCTGTAGTCATTTTTTGTGATAGGTTCTATTTAAGTATAGAGTACCAGAGAAGTGCACAAATTCTAAGGATACATATAGCCCAAAGGTTTGAAGTATGGGATTTAAATTCTGCAACCTCAACATGAAATTTGTTTTTAAATCTTAAGAGACTCTTCTAGTTTTAATATTATCTTGGGTAAACTATATACATCTTTTAATATATTTCTAAACCATGATAATCTTTTTTCCCTTAAATCTATAATGAATACCTACTCAAACTTGAGCAGATTTTTCTTAGGGTAACCAGCATCACAGGATGATAAGCTTTATTTAAATTTGAAAATTTTTTTTAACTGTTAGGCTTCCCTTATGGATCCTAGAGAGTTCTGTGTGATAATGGCAGATTGCAGTTGTAAAGGTAGCAGGTTTCAAGTATTTTTATCATGGAGTTAACAGATAGCTTTTCTTTTAGTTTGCTTGTAGTTATAAGCTTATTGGGAAAATTAGAAGCATAGGAGTTAACAGATAGCTTTTCTTTTTGTTTGCTTGTAGTTAAAAGCTTATTGGGAAAATTAGAAGCATAATAGTCATACTGTCAAGAAGGGAATTATTTTTAACACACGTCTAGTAATTAGATTTTTCTTTCCACATTAGATTACTATAAAACCTAAATCTCTTCATTAGTGCTGACAGCTAAATGGCTGAGTGCCTTGTGAAAAACGCTAATTTGGCATTTGAACTGTGTATTAGACCTATTACCTCTAGAAGATTTTGCCCTTCGATTGGCTATCCAGCCTCTCAGCTTGTTAGGAAAGTTATTTAAAGCAGAAGAAAACTCAGAATAGTTTTTCCAATCCATTCCTAATGGAAAAAGCCATCTTTCAGCAGTTGGTTGGGTCTTAAATTCAGTCTCGTAAGCATGGGATAGAAGTTTGTCAAACTTTTAATGATATTTAGGACTCTAGGAATTGTAACATCTCTATGTCTGTCTCCCGTATACAATTTAGGGCTGCTAATGAAGACTTGCATGATTTCAGCTTGAAGCCTTTTCAGGCTGTTTCAAACAGAAGTGGCTTGTGACTGAATGATGATTATTTGTTTTAATTCTCCATCTTACATTTGTAGGCATAATGACAAAGCTCTAAATTCAGAGATTAAACTTGCACATGAGAAATTTTAAAGTTAAAAAATACGAATTCTTTTGTTAAGTTCTATTAGTAGTGAAGTGCTTATTTCTGTTTTTTTTTTAGTGTAATATTTATCTTAAAATATTTAACTTTTAAGCAAACTTATGATTTCAATTTAAGATTAATAACACATTTATGTTGACTTCTCAACTATCACTCTTAAAGTGACTTATTTGATGATTGGAAAGAAAAACTTTTTTTTTTAATTTTTTTTTATTTATTTATGATAGTCACAGAGAGAGAGAGAGAGAGGCAGAGACACAGGCAGAGGGAGAAGCAGGCTCCATGCACCGGGAGCCCGACCTTGGGACTTGATCCCGGGTCTCCAGGATCGCGCCCTGGGCCAAAGGCAGGCGCCAAACCGCTGCGCCACCCAGGGATCCCAGGAAAGAAAAACTTAAATGCTATGATATGCATTTACCTTGCCAGAGTGCCATTCTCTCCATTTCAAAGATAACATAAGTTTTTAAAAATTTCATATCTATGTGCCTGTAACTTATTTAGTCCTCATAATCACCCCATAAGGCAGGTACCATTATTATCCCAATTTAGAAAAGGACTCTCCGAGAAGTTAAAAGTGCCCAAGATAAGAAAAACCTAAGAAATGAAGCCCTGACTTAAACCAACCCTGTTTTGTAAAGCCCATGGTTGATGGTACCTTGCTTGGGTCAGCTCATTACTTACAATAATACTGTGAGAAGGTTTAATATCAAGCCAATATTTGAAAATAAGTAACAAGATGCAGAGGTTAGATTAAGCAAGTGAGGATAGAAGACATTAAAATATCTGTTGATAAACAATAAAGCCTTGACAAAGTTCCTCTTTACAAAGTGTTCAGATATTTCTGAAGAGGGACTAATAACAGACATTTTATTTGCTTGAACTATAAATCAAATTGCAATAGGAAATAACAGCCCACTTGACAGGATTGAAGTGACAAAGCAAACTACCAATGATAGGTCCAGGGGGAAGATCACACAGAGAATTAGTGGTATTATAAAGGCCCAAGTTCATGATAGGCTTTAACTTCTTTTAGTTACCAAATATTTGGTAATTTAACCTACTATTCGGTATTCTCATAATATTCTCTGGAGTTTTGTATTCCACTTGTGAGGCAGTAATACTATGAGGTTTGAAGGGAAACCCAACCATATCCCTACATTACTGATGGAACATTGGCTTATAATGGGAAGCTGTCATGCAAACACTAGTTCTAGAGAAGGCTCATGCAATTCCTGTTTAAAATGTATACACTATTCACAGAAAATATGGCCTGTCTCCCAATTTATAACATGAAGCACCTTCCATATTCCATGGCTCTTTCATGTAATTTAAAGGATAACCTAAGGAAAGAAATGGAAACCCACCTAATCCTTGTCAGAAGCAAATTTACTATTAGTACGTGTAGCAGTCCCCACTACAATTAGAGTGGTTTGATGTTTATTCCTTAAAGCACATGATCAGCACAAATAAAAGTGCTAAACTTTGTCTTTATCCTCAAAAAAGGAGTAACTTGCTATAGAAATGACTCCCATAAATTACATAATGGGAGCCTTGCTCAAATTTCGTTAAGTCTTGAAAATACCAAGTATTATAATGTAGACATCATAACGAGGCTTTAAAACGCCACCATTTTTGAAGGGCAGTTAAAAATGTAAATGTGCCTGTCTTTTGACCAAGAAACTACTTCTAGGAATCTGTGTTCAAAAATACTCAAAGGGACCATTATATATATACAAGTGTTTATTGCAGAATTGTGAGTGGCAAAAACAACAAAAATCTAAGTAGCCAACAAGTAAACAGTTAAGTAAAATCTGAACATATACTCAAGAAAATACTGTGGAAAATACCACGTAGTGACAAAAAAAAAATTGTGATCACGGAATAAAATGTTGCAAATTGGGGAAATACTGCAAGTGGGAGATGAAAAATATTATTTCTATGATGGTGCCAAAAACTGTCTGGAAAAATAAATACCACATTAACAGTAGCTAGTGTTCTCAGAGGCAGGGGAAGGGGCCAGATACAAAGAACTTTATTTTTCTAGATTGTACATTTCAGTCTCTAGATTTTTATACTGAGCATTATTACGTTGTAACTAGAGATGCAGAAAGACATTTTTTATAATAACCAAATTGCATATATATTTCATGGGCAGTCTGTTAAATTTCTGAATTAAAGGATTGCAATGTGGTTAAAATTTTTGATCAAACTACATCTACAGGGAAAAATTTCAAAATAATGCTTGTAATAATAGAGTGGTAATATATGCTTTTCCTCCACTGTTCCCAGTTATTCATAAATAATATTAATTTCATAAGAAAAACTTAAAATAGTGCTTTATAAGAGAGAACCCCTATTATTAAGAGTACTAAAAACCTGGAAATAAACTGTAACAACAGAAATGAGTGAGTCAAATGGAGAAAAATTTATAAAAATTTACAAAAAAACTGACTAGAAGAATATGCTATATTTCTAAATTGACTCAACGTTATGGAAACCTCACTTTTCAAGTTAATATGTAAAGTCAATATAAGTCACAATTAAAAGTCTGATAAAATTGTAATGGAACATGAAACCCTGATTTTAAGTTTACATGGAAAAATAATTCTCAAAAGTAACCAGCAATTTTTTTTTTTTTAAAGAATAACGGACAGGGAGTATTCTTCCCTTTACATGATTTGTCAGTATATACTCAAAAGTATAACATAGGAATGAACAATGAAACAGGATTACAAGTGCACAACCAGAAACAAAAGTTTAATGTAGAGTGAATGTGACTTTTCAAATTGAAAATAATTCACTAATAAAAATTAATAGTGAACTGTTTGGCTATGCATTTTTATACTCATCATGAGGCTTGAACTTATGACCCAGGATCAAGAGTCCCATGCTCCTCTGACTAAGCCAGGGAGGCTCCCCTATATGCATTGTTTTTAAAGTTAAATTCCTACCCTACAGTATAAAAATACATCCCAGGTAGATTAAAGATAAAATGTTAATTATGAAACTAAAAATTCTGACAAAATATGAAGGGAGGTATTTAGTAACTTTAGCTTAGGAAACTCTTCCCAATTTTAACAGGAAGGTTGGTGGTTTGGAATTAAAAGTAAACTGCCTATTAAAAGACATCATAAAGTTAAAAGAAACTCCA